ACTGTAGGTTACCTAATACAGGCTGTTGCTAAGATAGTCTCTATGCATGCATGGATGGACAAGCATTGCTGGGAACATGTGATTATGTATTAACTTGTTCCTTATAATCTAAACATCTACCAGATCACTGGCCACCCATCTGAATTGGGGTTGGGGGTTTTTTTAACCACATGCTACTGTAAATCAGCAAAAGATCAGAAACTGGGAGATCCAATTTATTTATTAAAAGCTCTGGGTGTTCCAAACTGGGGAAATTCTGTTAAAACAGGAAGTTTACCAAACCTTTCCTCTTTTTCGATTCCTCAGTGGATCGCCATTGATCTGATGGATGTTAACAGGTAAAGTTTCACTCATATTAATTACATGAGTTTCTTTTGAATTTAAGTTTCAATGTTAGCCTCAAACTTGACTGTAAAGACCTCATTTTTTTCCAGATCGCATGGTGATGTAGAGGACATAATACTAAATCCTACATGTGGGTGTAATAAGTCTGCCGAAGGCACAACTATAAAAATCAATTTCCTCACATAATAGTCTCAATACTCTGCTGTAAAATATGTTATACAGAATCTGCTTTTACTTCTCAGAAGTGTATCGGTAGGTTCAGAGTACTTAAAAAAATGTAATATCCCTTTCCTCAAAAATATGGCAGGGTTCCTCCATACACGAGCTATTTCACTGAGATGCATGTTAAAATGAAACACTTTTTAGGTCATGATTTCTACTTATTAAAAATAAAATGAGCAGAGTTCTACAAAGTTAGGTAAAAAAAAATAATAATAATAGTAATGAGATTCATAATGGAGATAGTTTCCAGCAGTTTGAGTTGTTTTATTCTGTCAAAGTGAAAATCAAATATCCATCAACTTCACCAATCATCTGTGACTCTCCTGGGTTTACGTCTCAATACAACCATCAAAGTCAGCGCGTTCCTCGGATCCATCTTATTGGTACTAATCTGAATCAGGGATTACTGTGCCCCCTTTTGGTTTTGAATAAGCACTGCATGGGCATTACAAGCCTCACAGCACATTCTCAGTGAGCTCACGGCTAAGAGGTGTGATTATTAGACTGATTAGAATGAAGGATGCACTACACTGGTGATCATCAGGAGGAGGAAATGCATTGTTTTTGCATTTGTTTCACTAAGTAGAATCAGGGGCCAAGGGGCTTGTGTTTTGATCAAAGAAACAGCCACCGGTGACATATTATCGGCTGTGATTGTGTCAGTTTGTCACCGCGCTGAATCAGACATGTGGACCATTCATCACAGAAGAAAGCTGCATTTTTTCTCCCTCTCTCAGGTCTCAGCGATAAGAGGTGAATGAAGAAAAATGACGGCGAGATGGAGCTTGTCCACTATCTATCACAAAGCAATAGGGGCCGACCACTGTATGTTGAGCCGTCAAACGCTGCTTCTGCTTTTGCTTCTAGTTTGTTTTATAGAGAGCTGTCAAGCATCATTAATCAAATTGGTTTGACTTTGTGGTTTGTGTCAAAAATTGTTGCTGTGTCCTACAAGCAACAGTGGATCGTGATTTTAAAAAGGCATCAGCTCAAGTAGAAAATTTCAGATATTTGATTGATTTTAATACCACCGAGCCCTGTTTCAGACGTCTATTTTTCTCCCTCTCGTTTGTATTTATAGCGTTGCTTTTACTGTAAGTCCTTCTTCCCTCATACGGGGGGGAGGGGGGGGGACAGCCTGCCTGTTTGGAGTTTACAGGATCAAAGAAGAGGTAAATATCATTTCCATAACATTTGAACCAGTTAACCACCAGCACAATACAGAGAAACACTACTGTAAGCGCCTGACAATGCCAATGAGGCAGGAACTCTGTGATTTGCCGCTCCGCCAAAGAGGAGGGAAGCGAGCGAAAACATGGAGGAGGTGAGAGGTCAACTGCGCTCTCCCTGCATCATTTTCCAAGCAGCCCCTCAAGCACTGGTGATGTTTTAGGCAAGTGTACCTCACTTTGGGGGGAGGCCTGATGGATGCCGTTCCCAAGGTGAATGGAAAGAATAGCATTAAGCTGCACCACACTGCCTGGGGAGAGCTCCACTGCTTTGGGTGATTCATCTATTGATTATTTCTACCAAAGCATGGAGGTGCCATGTAAACACACATATATTAGTAGTCTACAATGCACATGTGCACCCCTTACACACATCCAGACGCAGCGGATCCAGCAAAGCAAGCCTCGGGCCTGCTCACTGTTTTATAATCAGATTCCGACTTTTACCAGCTCGTGGGCATCTTTAAACCACGAGGCAGATACATCAGATGGAGAACTAAATAGAGATGAATGAAGAGATGAAGGAATAAATAAATGATAAATAGCATTACCTCGATTTGTGTGGGCCAGCTATTATGTTATTGATTCCAGCTGGAGTTTTTTAGTTGTACTCACAGCGCAGTATGTGGGCCAAGTCAGATGTTTACACTTATTTTGTGTTGTATAAAAATGGCAGAATTTAAATTTTTCTCAGTGGAGTGCTAAATGCATTCAGGGCGTACAATACATCTTCAACTAAAGCAGAATTCATCAACTTACAGGATTTAATGCAAATGTAATGTTCCAATCAGAGGACATGCGTGCTTTACGAAACTGAACACTTTTTTTTTTTTTGAATAACTGAAATCAACTTGATTTATAAAGCACCAATTCACCTCATCAGTTGCCTCAAGCCATTTTATATTGTAAGGCAAAGACCATGAAATATTAGAAAGAACCCCCAACAATCACACGACAGCCACATAAGCCAGTCCAGGTGACCAGAGGACATCATGCCACTAATTAAAACCCATGTCAGAGCCCGTCGTTGTGAATCCTGGAGCTTTTTGTGTTATTTCTTAGTTTTTAAAACCTGTTTTGTTTATTGGATCTTTTTTTTCTGGCATCAGAGGCATTTTTTCTTAAAAAAAAAAAAAGTGGTGAGAAATGCCAGGAAAATTAACAGATTTCTGTCTGATAATTGAAATTCTCTTCTGTTATTAAAACCAGTTTTAGTCCCCACTAGATGTGATGCTGCTGGTGCAGAACAGCTTTCAAAATCCTGATCATACATGATACATTTTGGATTTTTATGAACCTACTCTAACTGCCCAATTTCTCTTTATTAAAAAAAAATCATTTATTTTTCGTCGTTGCATAATTTTTCCAGTATTTTTTATAACTTTTTTTTATAATTTAAATATTTTTTTTTTATAATTCAGGAAGATCTTGGTGGAAAGAGCTGCAATACAACTGTAAGCAGTTTAGTGGCTTTCATATTGACATCAACATGATCACTGAAATCAAACATCAAAGACTTTTTTCATTTTTTAATTATGAATTTTGTGTGTTGTGTGAGTGATTAAGAGATTTTCCTTTGATTTTGAGGTTGTACGGTGGAGTCTTGCCGTGTAGGTTCCTTTGTTGTCCATCAGTGTTCTGTACATGCACTCACTTTTCCTTGTTTGTTCAGGTGTGTTTAACTAAACCGATCCAGAGAGTGATCTTGCATTCATCCCAAAGGCCCCTCATTAATGTGTTTGAACCTGTGTGTGCTCATGTGACTGAAGTGTCCTCCAGGATTTCACTCACCTCGTCTCCAGAGACAATAATCAGTAAAACCTCTTTGCGTCTGTTTCCTCTCTGTCGTTCACCTGTGCTAATAACATCACGGTTGTATGCTTGATCAGAAATGACATGTAGTATTTTTGTTATACCACGTTATAAATCCAGCTTCGTTGCGTCTGAATAATGACGGATATTAGTGCTCTGGTTGAAATTCAACCTTTCCCTGCTTGGAAAAGGATAATGCCAGAGTTGTCACTTACATTGGATATCATTGCTTTGGGCAGGAGAAAGAGCTTCTCTCCAGCATGTGTGTTTCTTTTCCTGCAGACTTTTTTTTTTTGGTAAACGTTAGACATGGCTCTTTCCCTTAGGGGCGGTAATGGCATTCTCCATGACAACGGCAGCGTGACATGGCTGTGCCCTTGAGGGCCAGGCATCTCCTCTGGGAGGAGCGCCGCAGAAACACGACAGGGTCAATGGTCACCTCCCATCATCCACCAGCAACCCATGCTCCTCTCTCTCTCTCTCGCTTCTCAGGTGGAGCAAGGAATGTTAGAGAAAGAGAGATAAAGAGAGGGAGACACAGAGAGAGAGAGAGAGAGAGACGAAGAGAAAGAAAGTCTTCAAGTGAGCCCACTCAGTCCAGGCCTGGCAAACAAGAAGCTTTAGCCACAGGCGGTTCTGGCTAGGTCTTGCATAGCTCCTTGCTGTTCCTTTAAGGCCAGGGCTGGATCAATACATATAGTAGTGCAGATTCTTTTGGCACCCAAGTATAGCTATGCAGTATTGCCCCAAGGTATGGGTCCATTAAAGACATAACTGTGTGTGCATGTGAGCAAAGTGGACTGAGTTTATTCAGGAAGGTGCTGAAATGCTTGGCATAAAACCCATGCTTACACTAAAGATATTCTTTTTTTTCCCTTTTCTTTTTTCTGGAAATGCAAGAAATTATCTCATCTCTAATAAATATTACATGTATTTCTTACTCACGGCATGTCCCTGAATGGGTATGGATTTTTGAACAGCAATAGCCTACGGGAAAATAACTCTGACACTAAAAAAAACAAAACAAAACAAAACAAAAAACCCCAACTGAGTATTAGAATAAGGTTCCATATAATTTCAGTTAAATATATAAAATGCTTTTTGTCTATTTTGTCTTTGTAAGCAGCGATTTTATAAAAAAAAAAAAGAAAAAAAAAAAATCTCAAAAAGAGATGGTGTCAGGCTCGTGCATTTTAAAAGCAAAGCTCTTCTGCCACCTGGTGACTAAAATCCAGACCAGAATATGAGACAGCTCTTTTTTACAGTATTATTGATATCTGGAAGCATACAAACAGGCATCCTGAAAGAGAAAATAAATTTCAAACATACAGAAAATAAGCCTATAATTGCAATTAAAGACACACAAAAAAGAAGCTCTCGCATAGAGTTGTGTTTGTGTTGGCACATGCTGAATGAAAATGGTTTATTAAAAAAAAAAAAAAACCCACACAGGACATTTTCCCTCATGTCCTATGAATTTGGCCTTCTTCATAACAGAAAATGTTTATGCTCAACATGTATATAAATCATTTTTGTAACAAAAATCAGACATTTGACAGTGAGCACAAACCTTAAAAAGAAAAGAATAAAAACTGATGATGTTCTTAGAAATTATTCAGTCTGGTGTCCACAGTCAGGCCCAACTGTGAACCAGGACTTTCATTCAAACATCTGAGAGGAAGCAGGTCAGGCACCTGTAGAAGAATAAGAGAAATGTTTCTAAGTCACAGGGCCTCTAGCAAGCAGACATGCAGTGGAAGACAGTCAGACATGTGAATATAATTATTAGTGAGTTCTAAAGTAAGTCATCACAGTAAAGAGACTTAACTAAACTACCAGTCGAGTACAGAACTCACCATACTGATATGTGGACCGAGGTGGTGATGGAAGCAAACCATGTGCACCACTGGAAAGTTGAGGGCCTTTACTGCATTGAGATCTCTGGACAGCTATTGCTACTGCCTGAGCAAATCTGGAAGGGGCTGCACTCTTCTTTTCCAGACTGTTCTGTTCAGGCCTAGGTGAAGTAGGCTCGTCTTGAAGGGTCTCCCTGAATACTTTAATTTGCCCATTCAGGGCAACTGTAGGGCTTGATATTTGGGAGGACAGCAAAGAGGGGGATGTAGTATCCTCTCTTTCATTCTCCATTATCGCTATGTCTTCATTGAAAAAGACAGGTGGAGGAGGTGGAGGGAAACTGCCCTCCTCCTTCTCATCTTCTTCTTGCACCACTTCCTCCTCAGCTTTCGTCTCATCGGCGCACGTGTCTGCGCTGGAATTATCGACAAATTCCTTCTGAGGTTCTGAGTGGATGTGATCTTCAGTATTAACCTCTCCATAACTGCACCCTGAAATCACCTCTGATGAGACCTCATAGCCCACCTCTTCCCTCTCCTTTTCAGAGGTGTCCCTAGCCTCCGACAGAGGTGGACTGGGTAAGTTCTGATCAGTTAAATCATGCAAAAGTGGAGGAGAAGCCAGGTTGTCAGGAAGCTGAGTCTGCTGAGAGGAGGTATCCGGACTGGGTGCAGGGTCTTCACTCCCCGATGTGTCTGGTGAATATCGTTTCTCATCAGTATCTACTTGATTATTCCCAACCTCATGAGATGTTTTGCTCTCTGGGGTATCTTTAGGTGATATACAGCACTGGTCTGGAAGATCTCCGGTAAGATCTTGTGTTTTCTTCAGAGGGATAACTTTAAATGTGGTCATCCCCCTCTTCTCAGCTGGATACTCCCATTCACTCTCAGTTGGAAGGTTAGATTTGAAAGCGGATTCAACATCTGTGCAGAAAACTTCACTATTTGGACACCTTGGGGTCATGGGGGTAAAGGAGGAGCCATTTTGAAATTTGGGGAAAGTGGCAGAGTTCTTCAAACGTCTGACCAGTGTTTCTCTAGAAACAGAAGACATCAGGACTTTGGCAAGGTTGCAGCGGGCGCTGGAGAAGTCTTTGCCTCGTAACATAGGCAGATAGGGATCAGCCACTTCGTGGAGATGAGCCAGTGATTGCTGTAAGGAGGATGATCCTGACTTTGGCTGTAAAGGGCGTGCCAGTGAAGATGGTGATCTGTTTACACACTCTGACTCATCTCTTTCTTTTAGTTCCTCCGGAGTGTTCAGGGACTTGACAGTTTCTAAAGAAACAGGAAAGACTTAGCAACAGTTTTCATCTTAATTATTCATTTTTAAAAGGTCTTGGACCCAAAAATCTGTGTGCAGATACTTCTAAATTATTAAAAACCCTTACTTTTTTGTACACACATAGGAATAACTTTAAATGAAGAAATTGACTATAAATGGTTAATATTGTGGCACTCAACAGTTGGTATCAGTTCAGGAGAATAATGGTCTTTATCTGGAAGCAGATAAAGCAAGGACTGAGCAAACCAAACAAGAAGGCCTTTGGTAAACTCCAAGCGTTGTCTGAACATCCTTAGAAGAACCTAAAGATGGAGCTTCAAGGATGCTTTCCATCCTTGATTTGAATAACCTCGTCAAAGTCTTGTAGAAACTTACACTTACACTTAATTTGTGTGCAAAAAGTAAAGCGGATTTAAATTATTTCTGAGGCAACGGTATATCATTAAGATGTAGGCTTACATAGTATACAGACATATACATTAAAATATTGATATGATTATCAATCATTTTAATAATAAAATAATCTAGAAAAGTGTGCACATAAAACTGTTACATTTATCTTAAGATGTATTGTCTAAATGAGTAAGCAGAAGAATCAACTTCAAGGACTTGAACATTATACTTTAAAACACATAACTATATTATTTAGCAAAGAAAGAACTAAACATGCAAGATTTTAAAAAGTCACTTTGGAATCAACAGAATTAATAATTCATTTTAACCAAATGCTCTTCTTGGTTGCTTCTTTATCATTTAAAAGGCACAATAACTAACTCTAGTCTAACCCATTAATAGGAAATCACACACAAATTAGAAAAAGCAAAGTACAGAATTATCAGAGAAATATGGATCAGTAGTATAAGCAGACAGCTGAACAGCACAAATGTACAGCTTATAAATGTAGAAGGCGTGAATACAGTGCCCGCCATAATCTTTGGGACAAAAAACACAATTTGTTGCTTTTCCTTTGTGCTGTGCACCATCACAGTGGATTGTAAGGTGTAGATATGACAAATGAGGTGTAATTTATAGATTTTCATTGTAATTTTAATCTCATTTTAAATATGAGATGTGAGGAAGACTGTCATTAGGATAAAAAAATCCAAATAAACCTATCAGAGAAAAAGCAGAAACTCTACAAGTGGCTAAATCAATATTCTGGTGTTAAAAAGAATGAATGCACTGACCAGTTCAAAGGGAAACTAAAGTACGCAACAACAATAACCCAAAGCAACCCAAGAGTTCCTAAAAGTAAAGGCAAATCTTTCAATGGCTAAGTCAGTCACCTGATCTGAACCCAAAACAGCATTCCTTTCCATGATTAAATATCAAACTCAATACGGCAGCAACTGAAGGTGGCTGCAGTGAAGGTCTTTATATCTCAATTTATGTTAGATTCTCCCATTAGCTAACATTAACCTCTGAAAATGTCTAATTCTTTTTATAAAACCAACATTTGTGTCTTTGTCTCAAATGTTATAGAGGGCACTGTGTGTCCATATAAGCCCCCAACAAGATCTACAAAAGCCACTAAGACGGGAAGGAGGAAGAAGAGGCCAACGCAGGAAGAAGATGGAGAGGAGCAATAGGGTGATGGAAGGAGGAGAGCAAAAAGTGACAGGGGTGGTGGCAGCAGCAGCAGCAGCAGCCCTCAATTACCTCCTTGGGATGGCACAGAGTCTGTAAGCAGGGAGGAGACAAAGCTTCAGTCTAATAGCTTCCTAACTAACATCCAAGATGTTTAGAACCACCTCTTACTGAAGAGACTCCGTTAAATGTTCTGCCACGGATGCAAAAATCCTGTTATGTTAAAGATCAGATTGTAGGGGATCATGTTTACGCAAGCGTAAGAGATCAGGAGTGTGTTTAATGTCCATCTACCTTTGGCTGGGAGTTGTTTTTTCAGCATCACATTGACACTAGCTCAGCAGTGTGGCATGTGTTGTGGTTTAAAGAAAACGAAGGAGTGAACCAACAATGAGGCTGCTGTTCACAATTAAACTGTTATTAGATCACCAAAAGAAAGCTTTTTTTAAAAAGTCATCAATTTACTTATTCTCACTTAGTTATTATTAGCAGTTTTTAACTAAAAATGAAATCAAGAGCCAAATCTGTAGCAGATCATTAAAAAGAAAGCATGTCCACACAGAACCTGGACCCAGGCAGGGGACACATTTCAGACAGTAATACAGGGGAATGAAAGCTTGAAGCTGAGGACAGACTGGAGCCAATATGTCTTATGAACAAGGCCCTGGGTCATTTCACACAGGGTTCAACTGTATGGACCGATAAATGCTATGTTTTTTTTGTCAGATTTAACTGCCAAATCTCCCATTTGAAGGCATTTTCTTTGATAATTTTCATCTTAATTTCATTTCTTTCTTGAACCCCTCTGAGGTTTAGAGGATTCATCTCTGTTTAAACACATTTGATTTCCAATTTGACAGCATTTCAGTAAAAATGACCTTTTACTGAAATACTGCAAAAGGGCAATTTTACAGGGATTACTTCACAAGCATAGTTTACTTGTTTACTTGCAGACAGTCACCACTAGGTAGCAACATAAACAGCTTGCCCTATAAGAGATGAAGCAATGAGACTGACAATAATTTGTAAGTTTAAAGTGAAAGACTGGCTCCATTATCTCAATTAATGCCTGGAATCTTTTTTTTTTTTTTTTTTTTTTTTGTTTCCCCACAGCGCCACCATTTTGCATTCATGATTTTACCTTTAGTATCTGTCAGCAGCTCCTGGAGTGTGTTTGCACAGGGAGGTGGTGGGGCCCTCCTCTTGGTACTTCTTAAGGTAGATCCTTCAGAGCTCTACAGAGACACAATGGTATCATTGGCATATGTCCCAAGTATTTCCATTTATATAGTGGTTCCTTTATTCTTTCACAGTTTGACCAGTGTTCTCATTTTTACAAAAAGATTTTTCAGGATGTTCTGGTCGTGTTCCATTTTCATCCCTGCCACCAACTAACCTGTGCTCCTCCTAAATTGCAGGTGCTGAAGTTACTGACACTCTGAGAAACAGCAACTGGTGGCGGGGGGGCTTGCCTCTTCTTGGGCTTTTCTATAGGCAAGGTGTTGGAAGATGAAATGCTCTCCGAATTCATACGGAGTACCGCTTGTTTCCTGGGTCCTGGAGAAGCAGGAGCACTTACTGCGCCCTGCTACACGTGAAATGTAAATGCTGGTCATCAGTAAAAGTTGATCAATAAAGAATAAAGTAAACATTGTTCTCCTCACAGACTGACAATATACCATTTCGTGTTTCTTCTTCCTTCTTCTAAATAAGCTGAAGAATCCTTTCTTCTCCTTCCATTTCTTCTCCTTTTTTGGCAGGTCTAGGGAATGAAAAGGATCTGATTGGTAAGTGATATGCAGTATAAACCCTGAATGGCGAGCCACTATATGAAATTGTTTGGGTTGGTTACCTTGCAGTGGAAGTGAGAGGACTTCTGCTGGTGTGACAGTTGTTACAGACAGAAAACAAAGTTGCCAAAATGGATGAATTAGGTTAATATTTACAGAGGAGCAGGTGTATTGCAGGAATAAAAGATATGTGACTACGACTACTAAGACAGCAAGGTTTTGTGAGACATGGCATCATGGGAAGATTTTTTTTAAGAAATAAACAACTTATCTATGGATCCCATAACATATACAACATGTTGCATTTGGCTTCTTCTTCCAAAGGTTACAGTGCAAATTGAATTACTCACTAAATACTTTATTAGGAACACCACATTACTGCAGGGTCAGTACGTCATATCTCTGAGACAGTCAGGTGCACGTGGTCATGAAGCTTAACTACTGAATTCATATCAAGTGATCATGTTCATAAAACCAGTTTGATGGCTCTTGCTTTGTGCCATGTTGCATTTCCCAAACAGCAACCTTGGACTGTTGACACAAGCGGCTTGGCTCCAGGGATTTGTGCTGCTGACACCATCTGCAGCCTCAACAGAAAAGGCCAAAGCCATGTTTTTCCAGTTTTTAATTGTTCCATTTTGTTTAGACTTTGTTTACTGCAGACTTAGAGTTTTGTGCTTCACAGGAGTGAAACCTGGAATGGACTCGTCCTGTTTAGACTGTTTGCTGAATCTGGCTTCATCTGGCTGAATCTGGGTCCACTCCTCCGAGTGTTAAATACAACACTGAGTGTTAAATTAACACCTTTGACAGTGTTATATGTTTAAAAGTAACCTAGTCAGTTTTGAAGATTAACAAAGACTATCACTGAGCAGTGCTGATTTTCTAACACTGGAAAATAACTCAAAATGTTAGAAATATTCCAGTGTTAGAAAATCAGCACTGCTCAGTGTTAGTCTTTGTTAATCTTCAAAACTGACTAAGTTACTTTTAAACATATAACACTGTCAAAGGTGTTAATTTAACACTCAGTGTTGTATTTAACACTCAGAGGAATGGACCCATATAGACACTCTCTAGTGTTAATTTAACACTGGAGATTTTGCTGTGTACTTAAGGCAGAACAAACAGTGATACCATACTCAAAGTAATTGACATCTAATTTCCCCCCACTTTCAGCCTTTAACTATTTATGTTAACATAAACAAAAGTTTCTGATGTGTACCTGCTGTGTTTATGCTGTACAGCTTTAACATTATTACCCAAACAGGGGGACAACAGAAATGAGGTTTTCCTAACAAAATAACATACACAAGCCAGTGTGACATTACCTGAATTAAATCGTGGTAAAGAACATCACAGATCTTTTAAATATTTAGAGGGACATAAGATCACAGGACTGCTGACTAGCAGCTTTCACATCCTTCATACCTGTTTCTGTTGTCTTGGGCTGATGATGGTCAGTGAGGTCTTTACCCCCCGTGTCTTTGGCAAACACTTCCCTGAGTCCGTGGTCATTTAAGCTCTTAGTCAGGTCCAGCAGCTCTTTGGATTGAGAGTCTTTCAGTAATATGGTTGTTTCTACTTTAAACTCACACTTGTCACACACCAACGGCAGCAGCATCTGCAGCGGCAGTTTGGGATCGACTCGCACCACAGTCTTATGGGATTTATTGTAGTTGATCAACAGACGTATTGTTGCCTGCAATGAGAAACAACCGTTAACATATACTCATTGTGATGAAGCGCGATGAAGCAACGTTTTACTTTACAACTTTCCCTCTCCTTTTTACCTCAGGCACGTATGGCCCCTTGAGCTTTTCCTCCATCCCTTTGGGCTTCAGCACAATCTTCTCAGCTTCTACCGAGCCAATAGTAGAGTTTGGTTTGAAACTTATGTTGCTCTTGTTGGGAGATAGAATATCAACAGTATAGTCTGAAGGATTCAGATGGTTACTTGCACAGAAAGTCACTATAAAGTCCATCAGTGGTTTACTGTGAAGATGAGAATTTAAGGATTATCTTAACATGTTTTGCACTTTGTGAAAATCATTGCTGTTGCAGCAGTTATTTATTTATTTATTTTTAAACTGTGATATGACCCACCTTCCATGCACTGTGACACTCTTCTCCAGCCCACCTGGCAGAACCACGCACAGCAAATGGTCTCTTTGCAGTGGACCCACCTCCTCGCTCATCTCTGTGAACCTCAGAGGAAGTCACGGGGACGCACAAGATCTGAAGTTGTTCCCAGTGTCAGACAAATGACCTGTAAGCCATTTACATTCCTAAATATGATTAAAACATGACCTCCCACAAACTAACAGAAACCAAATGGCCACCATACTTCACTATTTGGCAACAGCTAATTATCATCTTTAAATTATTCTTGTATTTTATGAATTTATGACTTATCAATAAAATATCATAAACTGTGACAATGATCTTTACTGTTTGTTATTCAGTTTACTGACTGCCAGCGACATACTGGGAAATAAGTTTATCTTGTATGGTGACCTACGTTTATGAGTCAGTCCATGAAAAATTAACACTGTCTCTATTGTGACAGTGTTTATTTCCTGGTTGTATAGTATTTAGACTGTCATGTGGTTATTTCCTGTAACCCGCTACTATGGACTTAAAGGGCCTGTAGATTGGACATTTTTCCATAGTATCACATTTACATGGCTTCATTATGTATACTAAAGTTGAAACCCCAGCTGTTTCTGAGGATGTCAGGTGGAACACTTTCTCAGATTCAACTGACCTCATATGGAATTACTCTATTGTCACATTTACTTTGTAGTATTTATAGATCCAGTCACATGAACTTGTAAGACTGAAATTGCTCATTCAAAGGTGAAGAACTGAAAAAAACGTTTGTGTGTTTGGGTTTTTTTCCCCTCGCCATTCTTAGAATTACAAGGTAAAGAAACAGGAAACATGAAAGCAATGATAAAGCTCTCTAAGAATCTATTGGCCCACATACGAACCCCTTAAGTGAAATATGACGAAAAAAAAATAAAAAGGAGAGAGCCTGAAACCCAAATTGCGATTACTGCCGTGATTCCCTGTTTTCCCACGTCTCAACCTCCGCCGTGAACTGAAGGTTGCCTATCTGGGTACATGTGAGGACACCTCACCTCCTTCATGGGATTCCATTACGCTCTGTCCTCACCTTTGACCTTGTGTTGTTCTCTGCCATTGCTTAGATGCAGTCTCTCAAATAGCTCGATTAAAAGCCAACGCCCCGATGTGTGTTTGAAAAAGAGCTGCTCAGCGGAGCGTGCTACAAAACAGCTGCATGTCTCCGCTCATCAACACGCGCGTGTCACAGGCCGCTGAAGCGCGCGCACAGACGCTGGTACACTGAACAGCCAAACTAAACCTGTAGTCCTTTACTACACCCGAACAAAGGGTGTCCGATATACACACCGGACACCTGAATTATCAGTAACAATTAGAACGCTATTTTTATTTGCATTTTAAGCAGTTAGCCTAGTTATCTCGTTAAATTTAAACTATCTAAAGGAACAATTTATTCCACTATTAGCCTTCACCGAATAACCAACAGTTAAAAACTCGGTAGAAACTTATCCTACATGCACAACAAATTTGTGTGAATAAATACACAGTACATGATCCGCTCAGCCTGTCTGTCTTCAGCCATGTCGTTCAGGCAGTAATGCTGAGCACCAAATAAGCTTAGGCTACTCTGTTTCTTGAGTAAGAAGGATTAGTGCTTTTAAAAGGCTGCATCTCTACCCGCAGTCACATTCAAAGACACAGGAATGATTCATTGTATATGCACTCATAACACTATTACACTCACCTGTGTCCAGACATTGGTCCCATTCTCTTTCAGGTTTGTCCTCTGTATTGTTAAGTGATGGGAGGAGAGAAGGAGAGGGGCAGGGGAATTCTCTCACTCTGTAAGCCAGCCACACCCACAGGCCCTGCCCAGTCATGTGATGGCACTTTGCATGTTTGTTTATGTGCATGGCTACTGTGTGTATGCTTTGTGGGTGTTGGTGTTGAGGAGGACAAGGAGGATTGATATCTGCATGGGCATGTGTGTGATAACCTGGTGAACCATTCTGCAACTTTAAACTCTGCCCCATCAGTGCTGAAAGACTGCCACTCATTTTGTAAAAAAACAACAACCCTCTAATCCATATAAGCTACTGATCCTCTCTATTGAGTCGGGCTAAATTATGACATCTCAGCAAGAGCCCATCATATTGTATAGCATGCAGGAACCAGTGCTGTTCTGTATACACGCAAATAAACTTTTACCCCATTGCACAGAATACATGAAACAAACTTAAGCTACAGTGGTGATTCAGCTATCATCAGTGTTGTACTGGTCTTTCACAGTGTTTTGCACCATTAGAAAATTGCATTTTCTTGCTGGCACTTAGTCCACTACATTATATAACTGTGCTATAAATTGAGTCAAGCTGGGTCAATACCCTCAGGGCTAATGTCTTCTGGGTAATGTAGTAAATCTCTTATTGAGTAGCTGTAGGAGCGTTGAACAAGGAATGTAAGCTAAAAATAACACAAGGAACACTTTAAGCAGTTGTTACCATCCTTTGGTGGGTGACAGGGCAGGATCTCCCAAGAATTAAAATTGACCCATTCTTGTGCTCCTATGCCAGTTCAATAATTTCTTAACACCTGTGCTGTTTACCTTGCAAATGGATTTGGCTCAGATTCAATTAAAATATTATATCGTTTTTTTGTTAACTAAACAAGGTTTGAATAAGGTTATATAAACACTTAAACCTAACCCTAGAGATTGTGAACACTGGACCCTGGAAACTTAGTCTGTGTGTAGAGCTTTTAAGCAAGTGTTAGCATTCTGAAGCTGAATTTAAAAGGCAAATGGTCAAACTTTTATCAGGTAAAAACTGTTAAAATGCTGGCATGTTATTACTGAGCCAAGATGGAAACTATTTCAAGCAAGTCTGTCTGCCTAGAAAGTTTTTATAATATATAGTCAGTACTTATGTCTTTGTCTGTTTATGGTCTACGCATGATTGCAATACTTTTGGACATAATTGTTGTCTCAGTCTACCAAAAATAATCTTGCATACCTACCATCAAATCTCTGTTACAGTCACAGTTTTGTATTTTTCTTTTTCTTTTTAAATGGGGTTAGGGTTAGCTATAAACCATCGCTTTAACTTACGGAAGGATTCTTGGATTTTCTTTTTTCTAAATAATATTTGATTAGTCAAGCCTTCCTTACAGAGGATGTTTATAAGACAATAATGAATAACTGAAACTCAAGCCAGGCTCCTGCATCATCCCACAGAGCCCTTTATTCATCTTTATACAGTAGGTGAGCAGGAACAGGCTGTTAAGTGGGAGTTTTAATCAAATTAAGAACAGGGAACACATGTCCACACCGACTGTAATCTTGTAATCTCATCACCAGTCTGTCAGTGGAGACTCAGTGGGCTACAGGAGCTGACTGCAGTAAACAGATCACCATGTGACTGTCTAGGTTAATGACTAACAGATGAATAGAAAGAATGTTTAATCACGTCACTCTGTTTCATCTTTTAGCATGTTGTGAAATGGAAGAAGGCCATGTCATGTGTACATATGCACTTTGCCTCAAAGCTTTAGCTCCACTGTGAGATAAACAGGTAGAAGGTGTCACATTGTTTCCATCTTGTTGCCTTACACTAAATGCTTTCACTTCATGTTCATGTCAGCAGATCTGTTAACCCTGGTATAGCTATGTGTAAGAAAAAAGGTGATGATGCAGACAACAATATGTTATCCTCTATTTGTTGGTAGGCTTATGTAAATGCTATTCTTGCATAAATTTATGTAAACCTGGGAAGCCTTTAATCAAGCAGTGTAAATGATGTGTGCTATTCAGTCTGTATTCTCTATTCATCTTGAAAACACACTGTCTGGGCACACAAAAGAGTGTTTTTGTTTTCCTGTTAGACTTTTCCCAAATGTCCAACAGGAAGACAAGCAAAGAGAGAGGGCTAATTTGGAGCTTTACACAAAGCGACAAAGCCAAATGGGATCCTGTCCTTTGAACAAAGTGACAGGCTACAACCTAATTATGACAACCCACAGTCTGAACAAGGTTCCCAAATTCCTCACTGTGCCACTAATGAAACACGGCACAGTCGCAGAGAGCTGCCAAGGAGGACATATTTGAACCCAACTTTGGAAACATTGTTTGGCGCTTCTTATGTGTCCCTGCAGTATTTTAGATTATTTATTCAATTCAATGCTTTGAAAGCTTAACTTTTTTAAACAATCTTCTCTAATCTCATTATCTCAGTTAAGATTGTTTGCATGACTTGTCTTGATTACATCACTGACTGTCAGTGGAGTTTTATTCAAAGGCTTGTGCCATGTAGCAGCAATATTCAATGACCCTACAATCACTCTGGTACTTTGGTATACACAGGATTTCAAGGTGAATTCAATGGCAACAAGGATCTGAGGTCCTGTGCCTGCAAAAGAAGCCCAAACCGTCACCCCTCCAACATCATGTTTGACAGCTGATGTGAGGTGTTAATGATGTTATGCTCTCTGTTTAGTTTTAACCAACCATGGTGCTGTGCATTGTTACCACACATCTCTACTTTGGTTTCATCTGTTCAAAGGACATTACCCCCAAAGTCTTGTGCTTTGTTCAGCTGCAACTTTATAATCATAAGCTGTGCTACAATGTTCCAAGGCCTTTTCCTTGCAACATTTATGCAGTCTGTGGGCTGTAGAGTCTGAGCATTGCACAGTTTGATCTTGAATGTCTTGCACTTGTGAAAAATGTTTCTAACCATAGAACGATGGAATTCTAATTGTTTTGAAATACATTTCACTTCCCAGAATCGATAGGCAGCAACAGTTGCGTCTTTCAGATTATTGCTGGTGGTGTTCCTCCTTGGCATTGTGTCTAAATTACACTTTAAAGAGCCATTTGATCAGTTTTTTCTAGGTAAGAAATTTTTCTTTTAAGTTTTAAGTTAGCCACAATTAAATGTAATTATAATAGGACATTAAGTTATAAATATACTAGCTTGCCAGCAATATCAAAAACCACAATTTCCCAGATCTGTTTTCTCATGCAAATATATTTTCATCTGGATGGGAATGGCTTCAAAATGGTACATGTTGTTTTTTGACTGCTCTCATTTTGATGTGTAAAACCTGACCTGGTCAGTGAGGGTTGGATCTGACTATAGCCTGTATGCTCATGTGGTAGTGGCTAGCCTGCCCTGAAACCATACTGTGCTTTGTACTCCTTTGCCCTTTGTACTCATTTTTCACAAATTGTTATTTGTCTGTACTTATAAATATGCATAAACTCTGTTGAATCTAACATTATTCTAGTTCTGTTATGAAATGTTATGAGCTTGTTTATTTACATTTGCATTTACATTGCATATTAGCTATTTTCAGCTGAGCTATAAATATTTCAAGTCGTGCTGGTTTGACTCAGCGGCATTCTGTCAGGACAAGCAAGGCAAGCAGTGCTTGCCTGGTCAAATCTAAAAATTAATATTGATTAAAACTTACCAAAAAGAAATCTATCTTTTATCTCAACCAGCATTGTGACATAAAGCCTGTTTTCACCAATGTTGCTGCTGCCTTATGCTCACAACTGACTGTTGTTGCTGTAATTGATTTGCTACAATAACAGCAACATTTATGTCCCTTTCCGTTAACAATGGCCGGAGCTTGTCAAGCTGAGAGGCCAGCAACGTGTCCTTGTTGTCCTCGCCTGCACATTGTGGATAAACCTCCAGTCTTTGACAAGGAAAGTGACAGGATACCAGCATGTGAGGCAAGCTGCTGCTGGTTCTGTTTTCTTTGCTCTGAGATGATTTATTAACTGTACTTGGGGCTAGCTTTACTAAGGTGTTCCTCCATTGTACTGACAGTATTTACACATAGAGCACAGCAGAAAGATTGCACGTAAGAGATCGCAACTCAGAGAATTTTGTGATCCTGTTGAAAATTTCTGGGAGTTTGTTCCTCAAGGCACAGAATATAGGGAGAAGAATATTTACATCAAGTGTGCAAACCGATTTAACAACATCTGCGATCTCTGTATCAGATTGGCAACCTGTCCAGGGTGTACCCTGCCCCTCTCCCTGTGGTAGCTGGTTAAGGCTCCAGCCCCTGCCCCGGGGCGCCTGATAAGGATAACTGGAAGAGGATGGATGGACAGTCTACTCTTAATTTTATTAACAGAAAACAAACGTGACATTACAAATACAATAAATTTCCACATACTAAAAAGTAACTTAACCTGATTGTTAAAATGTGTTTAGAGCAGCCGTCAACTGTGTTCTCATTGTGAAGTGAAACTCCCTGCATGCTACACTGCTCATAGTGACTGTGAGGAGTGACTCTTTTTCATTTCCCAAATGGAGTCCACCTGTCTGTTCACTCAGCTATGATTATGCAACTTTCATGCCACCTAAAACTTAATTATAATGGTGGCTGTATTTCCTGTTGTGAAGGTGACAGCTTACACTCCATACTGTGATTACGCTCGTTTCACAAGGGCTCCATTTTATTCCAACAACAGAGGAGAGCAAACTTTCCATAATGTAGGCATTACATAACCGAACTTCAATGTAATTAC